ACCCCAATTTTTTGTAAGAACTATGGTGGAGTGGGTCGAGGTCCGTGCGACAGTCTGTCGCCGACAGATCGGAAGGTCGAGTGCTCTACACTCGGAGCCTCCGAGTCGGAGGGTATTCAATTACTCGAATCCATCGAAAACATTCTAAAATACTCTGACTCGGCCGCCTTGGACGATCTCAAATCGATGTCATCGATCAATAGGACCAGCGCAAATCAATAGTATGGTGGATTTAGAAGCAGTATTCAATATGATTGACTTGTCGGGCTTCAAGACCTCATGATTAACCCTATGGGTGGTGTCACAGTCTATAGGTTCTGTAGCACTGATTATTACGCTGACCCTTTAGCTAACCTTAGGGGTAGTATGATAGATTTGATAGCAGTAATGCTTAATGACTAGATTTAAGCAACGCTGTTGCAAGGTAAGGGACTGATATGGAGGTTTCAGTGTTTTCTGTAAACTGTTTGCCTAGTTAGATACAACAGTGACAAGATGACAGCAATGATGAGTTTCTTTGATCGTTTCCGAATGAATTGTTTGTTGTGTTGCGTAGTGAGTGAAGTTATGAAGTTCACGACGTGAAAGGAGATAGAAAGTGCGGTAACTTCACGAGCCGTATTCTCTAACCGTCGTGCCATGAGCTCATGCTTCTGCTCGAGCCCTAAGCCTGCATTATAATGAGAGAGAATCTCATGATATACGCACTAGTAGACAAACCTCCGCAGAACACATGTACGCGTAACAGTTTGATGGCTTGCTAAATAATTGTGACTCACAATTTGTGAGTCAATATGAGCGGGCAACGTATGAGCATACGTAGTTGAATTTTCGACGAAGAAGTGCCTCCCCTTATCCTTGACCCCGAGACGACTGCTCAAGAGCCGACTCGGTCACGCTGCTCGTCTAACTAACCTAGCAACCTGCTTGTAAAGTATACCAGGTAAGACTCTTACCGTAAGAGAAGTGTCCGGGAAGAGCAAGCCGAGAAGCAGAGTGAAACTGACAAGCCTCAGCAGTCCTTTGCAGCATGCAGGTTTCAAGGGCCGAAGTTGGCACTATCAGTGTGAGTAACAGATTTGAGCACCTCAATTGGCGATATCTGTAATACATACCGTATTCGAACGCCTCAGCATATATCTAGCGGCATATCGCCAACTCTCGCTGAAATCTGCATTTCACTGGTATTACGCCAAAGATTAGGCAAAATACGTCCTAGTCTTGGCCAAACGTGCGAGTTTCATCAAATTTTTGGCGATTCCCCGGCCTAGCGCAGATTCCAGCGACCCAAGGTTGGCGCAACCTGGATCCAAGCGCAGAATAGATCACTTCGGCGAGCGGACTTGGCAGCCAATTCCGTGCAGATTTCAGCGGATGCGCTGAATTCTGCACGGCGAGCCGACCAGCTTGGCGAAATCCCGTAAAACCCTGGTCGTATCACGCATATCGCCAAGTTGTTTAAATTTCCTAGATACAAGGAATCACCAAAGTTGGCGATTTGGCGAAACCTGGTGCTCCGGAATTTTCTTACACTCTCCTTAGAAAAATGATATAGATCGGAGCCTACGAATCTCATACTATGGATTTGAACTCTTTAACTCTTTTTTTATGAACTCTTTAATCTTCGCACTGTAGTACAGCCAATAATACGTACCAGCGTTCCGCCCGTCTCTTTGCGGGCTCTGTTTATTTGTTTGATTGGTTAAGGTTGATGAACGTTTCACTTGTGACTCGTATAATCTACCATGTCAAACGTGTATAATTCTGTTTCCACAAAAAAAACTATGGATGTGAGACGCGTTCCTCACGTGTTGAGTCCCATATCCATCAACCCTCCTGACTGGCTTAACACGCTGGAACGGCAGCAATTAGATCTGGCGTGATAACAGGTGCCTCCGTAGAGCACGGCGATGGAAAAATTCAATAACGTATTGCTCGTTATCAAGGGCCGTCTAGAGCGGGAGAAAATCGGCCATGTTTCCCAGGGTGGGGAAATATGCACAATGTCAACCACATGTGTGGTGATAACAATATGAAAATTCTGGGGAAATTTTGGAGAATTCTCGTTAGTTTCTGTACACTAGTCGTATAGTCTCCCAATTTGTATACAAACTCCTACGATAAGTAAGGTTAGCTGAGGAAAGCGAACATTTTTTCTCCATGTCTTGCGACCGATACAAGTCCAGCACTTAGTCGTAGTAGATGCTTACTTCAACTAGAGGCCCACTGGAGGCAGAGTTGACGTTCACTCGAAGTCGTGAAGGCCTGCTGAGATTGGTATATGATAATAGATATTCATTTATGTGATGTTTTCTATTATTAAGTTTTTTTGTTGTGGAATTTTCATTAGAGAATGCAAACACACTTTCAAGCGAATTTCGGGGCCACTGAATTCCCGAACTCACGAGAAAAGCTCTGATTTCTAGACGTACTATAATGCAACATTTTCAACCCCAATCGAGAAGAGCTGACGGAGTTCATAATAGGGGGAAGGCAGAAGTACCTTAGAAAGTGTCCAAGGGCGAGCGAGACTTTGTCCTCGGATCTTACCCTGTATGTAGCCTTACGATTTACCTTTTAATTATAGGAGAGTAACCACAACGACGAAGAATTTTCGGGCGCGCGCTAAGTCGAAAAAGGATGATGCTAAGATTGTGATGTGGCCTGGGCTCTAATGTCCATGGATTCATATGTGATAAGCATTGGTCCAGCGTAATGATCAATGAGTCATTATTAATCTGTGTGTGTATTGTCAAATTTCACAGTAACTTGTTCGAAGCCCGTAAAAAGATTTTCGAAACGGCTGGGGTTGTACGAAGATCGAAAAGTACGCGATGCAAGGTGTTACGTGACTTTGGAAAAGTTAGAAAGGCTGATACGAGACCGACCCTACCCACCATTCACAGAGAGGAGGAAACTCCGGTCGAACATTACTGGAGTATTTTGAAAAAGCAATACATCACAAAACTACCCCAGAAGAGTGTTACGATTCTCCTCAGGAAATTGTATAAGGCACGAAAGCAATCTGATGACGGTGACAGCTCTTTCACAAACACTCATACTTTTTACCCAACTGAGTTGCAAAACAACATTATTCTCAGCATAGAAATAGAAAACCGAAAAAGTTATCATGAGTCGAGCATTGAGCTCTGATAATAACATCACTGACCATTGGTGACAGGCTTAGGTAGATTCATTATCTCAGCTAATAGTTCACGGAGTGCCGCATGATCCCAGACCACTGGGAACTCGGGAAAATCTTCCAGAACCTTCTGACCAGGTCGGAAGAGAATGCCCTTATCGGCCGCTTTCAGCATAGAAATATCATTATAGCTGTCCCCTATAGCAACGGTTTTGAAATTCAAACCTTTGAGGGCTTCCACCGACTTGCGTTTTTGGTCCTGAAAATGACTATGTGGTGAGCATAGAATTAACAATAAACCAACCTTGAGACGAAGCACATGCTTTTCGATGTACCCATCAGAATCAACAGCAACAGCGTGGCAGAAAACAGTGCATTGACCGAGTTTGTTGAAGAGAGGTTGGGCGTAGTTCTGGAAGGTATCGGTGAGGATAATGATCCGTGGGCAGTAGGGGTATAGCCAGGAGATGGTCTCGACAGCGCCCTCGAGGGGCTCCATGGTCTCGACTACCTACGGCAAGGAAGGACACTGCATAGTAGAAGGGCGATTTCATACCTGTTTCATATCGTCTAATTTCACACCGTTTTCTCTGAGTATTTTGATGCGGTGCATCATCAACTTATCGTAATCGGGCTCGTCCTTGGTGGTCAACTTCAACCCCTCGAGACCGGTCTTCTTCTGGAGCTCTAACCAGGCCTCGCCGACCAGCACGCCCTCGCAGTCGAAACAAACACACCACATGTCAGCCATAGCAAAACACGTATAGAGAGAGTGCAAAACTGCGAGAAGCACGGGGGGAAAACAATTGGTAAAAGACTCTTCTAAGAACTTTCATCAGCCAAGAAAAGCTGCGATCTCTCGAACAGTTCACTTGTCCAATACTGCATCACTTACAGTTCTGTTCGCGACGACCGAGAATAGAATCGATGAGGAAATGCAAGATTTACAAGTGTAGCAAGATTCGTGGCAACCAATACGAAATTGTGACGTCATGGTGGAACATATCTGGGGCGATGTATGAATCTCTTGGATATCAAGGAGTTTCGTGAGTTGAAACCGCATAAAACGCGTAGTTAAGTCACTAACGTTAGAGTAATGCTGTTTACCCTTCAGGTTTTCCGATGGGCTTCCTTTCCCTCGCTCATCTCCTCACTATCTCCACAACATTACCCTTTACTCTGGCCCAGCTCGGCTTCCTATCTCCTCGCGACAGGCAGGCTTCGGTCGTTGCAGGTGATCACTATGATGGTTTTGAGGACCCCTCCGGTACTGCTATTTTTACCATCATTGGTATCGTCACCGTCGGCATCTGCCTGATGATATTATTCTGTTGTATGATGAGTTACTGCTGCGAAATTCTGGAGTGCATCTGTTTGTATGAGCTCCTCACCAATTGCCTTCCCGAGGAGCTCTTGGAGGTGGCCTGTATCGCCTGTTGCGTCAACTGTTTGGTATCGCAGAGGACGAGGGAGACAAGATACGTCACAACGACCACTACTACCACCTACACGTACCTGTGAAGTGGTGGAGGTGTGGTATGGCTCTTCCTTCTTATGGGGGGGGGGGGTAGTTTTTTCTTCACCTTTACTCTCGGCAGAACGACAAGCGTTTCTCATCGACAGTTTGGTATCGGGTTGCGGGATGAGTTGCCGAGATTGTTCTTGTTACTTATTCTCTGGCTCGTTAGTTGTTCCCGAGGTAGGTTGGAGGCTCGCTTGAGCTATACGCGATGTAGGTAGTCAGCTGACCGGTCTAAAGAGAGTACCTTTCGTGGGCGTAGGAAGTACTTTTTTCGCTACCATACAGCGTATGCTTTTTTCTGGCGTCTTCAACTTTACGCCTAGGGCGTACATTTATACGCCTTTCGACAGCCCTGGACAGTTATAGGGCTGTTACACTCGTCTAGGGTTGGGGATGGTGGGAAAGAATTGCAGTCGTGTTGGTTGCATAAAGTTTTTCTCTTGTCACCATTGTCACATCGGATCATAAACGACCGATTTATATGTGTTGTAGCAGGAGGTTTCAGACGGCTCTTTCGAGGCGTTGTGTTATGAAGATGTGGTGGAAGTGTGGTATTAAATTATTCTCCAGATTAGATCAACTTCTTACCTATGGCGACCGATTCACCAACTTGGCCGGGCAAAGTGCATAAGGAGCATCATAAGGAGGTTACTTCAACTCAGTTGTTGATCAAAGAGATGCTAAAGGGGAACGGTAAGGGAAGTGTGAGAGAATATGCACATGGTCAGCTACATGTGTTGGTGACAATATGTGAAAATT